ATCTCAACAAGAATAACAAAAAAACCCCAAACGATCCAGTTAGAAAATGGGGAAAATACATGAGCAGATATTTCAAGATGTCAATAAGCACATGAAAAATTCGTCAACATCATTAGCTATCAGGGAAGTACAAATTAAAACCACAATGAGATATCACTACACTTTTAGCAGAATGGCTGAAATAAAAAATAGCGACTACATCAAATGCTGTCGAGGATGCAGAGAAACTGGATCTCTCATATATTGTTGGTGAAAATGTAAAGTGGTACAGCCATTCTGGAAAACAGCTTGTCAGTTTCTGGAAAAACTAAACACGTACTTACCATTTAACCCAGGAATTGCACCCTTAGACACTTATGCCAGAGAAAGGAAAACTTGTGTTCACACAGAAACCTATACATGAAAGTTCTTTGCAGCTTTATTCATAATAGCCAAAAACTGGAAACAGTCCAGATGTCATTCAACAGGTGACTGGTTAAAGAAACTGATACATTCATATCATGGGATACTACTTAGCAATAAAAAGAAATAACTATAGATAGACACAATAACTTGGATGAATTTTCAGAAAATTATGCAAAAAGTTATATACCTTGTACATCCGTATACCTAACATTTTGAAATGATGAAATTATAGAAAGGGAGGACAGATTAATGGGTGCTAGGGCTTGGGGATGGAGCAGGGGCAGGACTATGGGGAGTTGGGAGGTGGGCTTGGGATAGAAAAGGGATCCTTGTGATGATGTTCAGTATCTTGACTGCAGTAGTATCACACGTGTTAAAACTCTATAGGACTAAATACACATACACAAATGAGTACATGTAAAACGGGAAATCTGAACAAGACTGCTGGGTTGCATCAATGTCAATATCCTGGTTGAGGTATTGTAGTATAGTTATGCAAAACGTTACCCTTGGGGAAAAAACAGGAAAAAGCTGTAAGGGATCTCCCTGTATTATTCCATATAACTTTATGATTATAAAATTGTAAAATTTCACATTTCTCTATAAAATTTCAGTTGAAAAATTCTTCATAGGCCAATTGGCTAGAATTATTGGAGTTGGGCACTGGGGATCCGGGAAAGCCTTTCTGAGATGGAGAGCTAAATGAGGAAGGGAGAGAATGTTTCTGGCAGAGTAAGCCAACATCAAGCGGAAAGGCCCCAAGAGTGAGCTTGATATGTTCTGAGAACCGAAACAAGACGGAGGGCAGTGGGGCAGGAAGGAACCTGAGGTCATCTGTGTGGGATTTAACCCTAGTTGCTTAGTGCTTTCTTGCCATTTCCTAAGCTGGTATTCTACTCCACTTCCAGAAAACAATCAGTAAATTTCTTAGTTTATGCCCAAACACTTTACAGGATTATGTATGACAACATAGATGTAAGAGCTCACTATTCTGAGTCAAAAAAAACAAACAAACAGAAAACACAGCAATAAGTGAGGCATCTCAGGGTACTAAATGGCTATATATGATGCGTGAGAGCTGGAGGGGATCTGCAATTTGGAAAGGACTTACAATGATGATATATTTGTTGTCTTTTCTGACTGTCCAGCCAACCTGAAGAATAAGCATTGCTCCCATCTGCTAAAAGTGGAGGCTGAGCTCTGATGGTTCAGTGACTTGCCCCAAGTCTTCAGCTAAAATGCAGTGAGCAAGACACCGGCTGTAACTCATGGGAGGGAAAAGCCACTGAGCGCTGAGCACAGGTACAAAATGGTGGTGCAGTGGTTAGGAGCTCGGCTGCTAACCAAAAGGTTGGCAGTTCAAATCCACCAGCCTCACCTTGAAAACCCCATGGGGCAGTTCTACTCTGTCCTATAGGGTCGCTATGAGTCGGAATCCACTCGATGACAGTGATATTCCTCTGTGGAGTCTCTGCTGCTATCTTAGTTATCTAGTGCTCCTGTAACAGAAATACCACAAGTGGATGGCTTTAACAAAGAGAAATTTATTCTCTCACCCGTTAGGAGGCTAGTAGTCTGAGTTCAGAGCACTGGCTCAAGGGCGAGGCGTTGTCTCTCTGTTGGCTCTGGAGGAAGGTCCTTGTCTCTTCAGCTTCCGCTTCCTGGTTTCTTGGTGATCTCCATGTGTCTTGCCACCTATTTTACCCCATCTCTCTCTCTGCTTGCTTGTTTAATCTCTTTTTTTTTAATCTCAGAGGGGATATACCCTACACTAATCCTGCCTCATTAACGTAACAAAGGCAGCGCACTCCCAAATGGGATTTGTTCTAGGGTAAAAACATGATAAAGTTTAGTAAAGCAAAAAGAAAGTTTTATTTGGCATATATTCAAAAGGGCAAAAGTTGGAAGCAGATAAGCATGCTGCCACAGCCATGGTTGCTCGAGTCCAAGGGAATATTACAGAATAGGCTAGCGTGGGAAAACGGACAAGCATGCTGCTAGAGCCATGTCTCCTCGAGTCCAAGGAACGTTACAGAGTCAATGGTATATGCTAACATTACAAATGGGCAAAACCATCGAATACTTCACCTTTTCACAGACTGGCTAGAAACTGTGATCCTACATTTTGAATCGTCTTTCTTGACAATTATTGGTAAAGGTTTCAGTAATGACAGTCAGGAGGGTCCTCACTGGTCCAACAAATGTTACTATTCATTAAATGCTAATAGAAAAAGCTAAGAGTGGAAAGTCTGTGGGTTTTTTGTGCCGTGTTTTATGATTCGTTTATGTGAAAGTTCCCTGAAAGATGTTTTCCAAGATTGTCGTAACTATTGTCTTTATACCTCAGGGCCCAGTTGATGTGTCTTTGTGAGTCCACCTCCAGCTGGGTTACATTCTAGGACAGGGAATAATGGCTCCAATATTATCTCCTCAATCAGATAATAACCACAGGCATAGAGGTTAGGATTTACAACACATATTTTGGGGGGACATAATTCAATCCATAACAGCTGCTAACCAAAAGATTGGAGGTTTGAGTCCACCCAAGGTACACTGAAAGAAAAGGCCTGGTGACCTACTTCTGAAAAATCAGTCACTGAAAATCCTGTGGAGCACAGTTCTACTCTGACACACCCGGACTTGCGGCGAGGCGGCGAGTCAGAGTCGACTCATTGGCACTCCTCTGTGGAATTTGTGAAGAACTTCAGTCTGAGGTAATGGTTTAGAAAGAAACTAAATCAAGTAAAAGTGTCCCTGGAAAATATGAGTGCAGACAAAGCTGTGTGGAAGCACTTGTCTGTCCTTGGGCATTTGGTTTCTTAGATAGCATGTTCACAGAGACCCTGCGCTTTCATTCTGAGAAAGTCCTCACTGTGTGAGAAGTGCCTTCATTCTGCCAGTACTGTTTTCTTCTGCAGATTAAGACTGAGAGGACAGGAACAATTCGGCTCTTGGCATCCACCTGGTTGCTAGGAGTTACTAATACATGTTTTATGTGAATAGTTCATTGTTTATTCCTAAACGTGAAAATGTTTGTGGCAGTCTGCGCTTTCCCTTCAAGTTCAAATGGACAGCTCCAGTCACACAGACATCTTTCCCTTCACTGCAGTTCTGGCCACGAGCTGGGAAAGGCAAACAGGGAGAGTGAAGACCTCATTGGACCGGCCACTGGTTCAACTTGCCACTGATCATGAAGAATTGAGCCTCTCTGACAGACACACACACACACACACACACACACACACACACACACACACACACACACGTAAGGCAGGAGAAGGCTTTTCATTAGCAATGAAAATGCTGTTTTTCACCTATTGCATTGGTTTTAGGACCTACTGCCCTGATGATGCAGTGGTTAAGAGCTCAGCTGCTAATCAAAACGTAAGCAGTTCAAATCCACCAGTCGCTCCTTGGAAACCCTATGGGGCAGTTCTACCCTGTTCTATACAGTCACTATGAGTCGGAATTGACTCAATGGTAATTTTTTTTTTTTTGTAATGGGCCTGCCAACTGTGAAAAACACTGTTCTTTGCAGTTTTGCCTTCTGAATGGTGTTCTGGAAACACTATTCTTGTGGCTTTCTGTCCTCTCTGAGTGGTTTTCTAGAAAGACATAGCTGTTACCAGAATGGAAAGGGGAGAGCAAATGGTACAAAGCAACAGGGAGCAGGGCGAACGCAGGAGAGAAGAAACCTCAGTTAATATCTCAAAATATTATCGGCTATACCCTTTGGGAGAACATCAAGTCATTTGATGTTAGTGGGGCCAGAGTCTGACAGGCAGTGGGATGCCATTCTTTGGTCTGTGTGAGGCCTCTCAGATGCACCCTCCTTCTCTGGGTGCCCACTGCCCTTCTCTGAGGAGTCTACCAGGCTGCGGGGAAGTGGCCACAGCCAGCATGCCCTCGGTCCCTTGGAGGCTCTTCTAGTAGCTGCAGCTGGAGGACCAGCGGGCTGGTGGGCTGTGCTTGCTCCCGACTTGCAAGCATTGATGATGCAGTGTTTTTCAGGCATGGATTAGAAACTGCCTGAGAATTCTGTTTCCAGTTTGTCAGCCCAGCCCCACATTCCTGGTCACCTGTCCACTTTATCATTTCTCTCTGGTGCTTTCTCTCAGCTGCTCTCAGCAAGGGTTTGGGGTGACATCCAGACAGACAAACATGGGGTCCTACACTAGCTGTGTGACCTTTGGTCATTAATCTCCTGGACCCAGTTTCCACTGCTGTGAAACGGGCAGGAAAACAGCTGGTAGATTTACTCTGTAGTAGCCAGCGGCTTAATGAATGTCTGGGACTCCTTGGGGTCATTCACAACGGCCCACAGCTTCAAATGAGGAAGACAATAGCGGGTGGAGGCTCTTCCGGATCTCCCAGAGAGGTGTCGCCAATGCCGGTGGGGGGCGTGCCCCGCCGGGGGAGGGACGGCCCGGGGCGCGGTCGGCCAAGCCCGCACGCCCCGCCGGGGACAATGGATGGCGGGGGCCGGGGCCTGGCAGTGACCCCGGGGCGGGGGCTCTGCTGGTGACCACGGGCTGGGCGGGGCCCGCCGGTTTTGACCTGGAGCTTACGCCGCTCGTCACTTTATTTACATCTCCCGGAGGGACGCAGACCGTCCCGCGCTCAGCCCTTTTTCGCCCGCCCGGTCCGCGAGCCGTCCGAGAGCTGCCATTTCCTCAGCCCCTGGGTCTTTGTCGCCGGCGTCGCTGCGAGAATATGGCGAAGCGGGTCTAAGAGGTCCCCGCGCTCGGTGCTGCAGATCCGGACTGACTTGGTGAGTGCGGCGTGAGTGCGGCGGAGCGGTGCCCTTGGGGGCGTGCGCGGCTCGGTCTGGGATTCCCACTTTGAGGAGTGCTTGTTCGTCGCCTGCTTTAGCAATGCCCCCACCTATCCTGCAGGCGCGTGCTTGTCGGGGCGGTTAGCTGGGAGGATGCGCCGGCTTCGGGGCCGGAGAAGGTGCGCCGCGAGTGCGCGGGGAGCAGGGCCGGGAAGGGAAGGGTGAACCGGGAGGGCGCGCGAGGACAGTGCGCGGGCCGCGGGGCCGGGAAGGGAGCGCGGGGAGCAGCGCCATGGAGGCTGTGCTCGGAAGGCGCGCGGGAACCAGACCGGCGAAAATGTGGTTCCTCCTGTCCTCCCACAGCTGGTTTCTCTCCTGCGTCCCCTGCAGCCAGCCGCGCACAGCCCACTCCGTCCCCGGGTGCGGATCCGATCAGGTGGAGGCAGTGAGGAAGGAGGACAGGGCCGGCGCAGTTCAGCTCCAAGGGAGAGCAGTCCTGTGCCACTGGAAGGAGTGTGGAGAGCCCTGTGGAACGTGCCTGGCGCCCACGGAAGAGCAGGAAAGAATTGGTAACGTCAGTGATTCAGTGGACCCTCCCTCCCTCCCTCTTTATGGGGGAGAGAGTAAAATTATATTTTGGAGAATGAGTGTTAGTCAAATGGATTCAACCATAATTTCAACACGTAAAATGTTACAGCATAAAATATTGCCACTGAGTTGTTTGGCAGCTCAAAAGAGAAATTTTACTGTCATAAGTTGTCTTAGTTATCTAGTGCTGCTGTAACAGAAATACCACAAGTAGGTGGCTTCAACAAACAGAAATTTATTCTCTCACAGTCTAGAAGTCGGAATTCAGGACACCAGCTCCAAGGGGAGGCTTTCTCCCTTTGTCGACTATCTGTCATCAATCTTCCCCAGGGTCTAGGAGTGATGTAGGTTACACCCCAGGGCAACTCCCCTTACATGGATCGGAGATGTGACGTGAGTAAGGGTGTTTCATCCCACCCTAATCCTTTTTAACCTAATCTAATCTTGCCTCATTAACCACAGGCAGAGATTAAGATTTCCAACACATAGGACAATTACATCAAATAACAAAACGGAGGACAACCACAAATACTGGTATTCAAGGCCTAGCCAAGTTGACACGTATTTTGGGGGGACATAAAATCCGAGACATACCACACATTGGCCTCCCAAAATTCATGGCCTTGCCATATGTAAAACACATTCACCCCATCATATCATCCCAAAAGTCTTTTTTTTTTTTTTGTACTTTAAGTGAAAGTTTACAATTCAAGTAAGTTTCTCATACAAAATGTATATACACATTGTTATGTGACCTTGGTTGCTCTCCCTATACTGTGACAGCACACTCCTCCTTTCCACTCTGGATTTTTCATGTCCATTCAACAAGCTACTGTCCTTTCTGCCTTCTCATCTCACCTCTGGACAGGAGCTGCCCATTTAGTCTCATGTATCTACCTGAGCTAAGAAGCACACTCTTCACGAGTATCATTTTATGTCCTATAGTCTACTCTAATCTTTGTCTGAAGAATTGACCTCAGGAATGGTTTTAGTGTTGGGCTAACAGAGAGTCCGGGGGCCATGTCTTCCAGGGTCCCTCCAGTCTCAGTCAAAAGATTAAGTCTAGTCTTTTTACTAGAATTTGAGTTCTGCACCCCACTTTTCTCCTGCTCCATCGGGAACTTTCTGTTGTGTTCCCTGTCAGGGCGGTCATTGGTGGTAGCTGGACACCATCTAGTTCTTCTGGTCTCGGGCTGATGAAGTCTCTGGTTTATGTGGCTGTTTCTGTCTCTTGGGCTAATATTTTCTTTGTGTCTTTGGTGTTCTTCATTCTTCTTTGCTCCAGGTAGGTTGGGACCAATTGATGCATATTAGATGGCTGTTCATAGCTTTTAAGACCCCAGACATCACTTACCAAAGTGAGATGCAGAACATTTTCTTAATAAACTTTGTTAGGCCAATTGACCGAGATGTCCCCTGAAAACATGGTCCCCAGACCCATGCCCCTTTTACTCTGTCCCTCGAAGTGTTTGGTTGTATTCAGGAAACTTCTTAGCTTTGGTTTAGTCCAGTTGTGCTGACTTCCCTGTAATATGTGCTGTCTTTCCCTTCACCTAAGATAATTCTTGTCTACTATCTAGTTAGTGAATGCCCCCTCCCTCCCTCCCTCCCTCCCCACCCTCATTACCATCAAAGAGTGTTTTCTTCTGTGTTTAAACCTTTTCTTGAGTTCTTATAATAGTGGTCTTATACAATATTTGTCCTTTTGTGACTGACTAAATTCACTCAGCGTAATTCCTTCCAGATTACTCCATGTTATGTTTAACGGATTCATCGTTGTGCTTTATTGTTGCATAGTATTCTATTGTGTGGATATACCATAATTTGTTTATCCATTCGTCCGTTGATGGGCACCTAGGTTGTTTCCATCTTTTTGCTATTGTGAACAGTGCTGCAGTGAACATGGGTGTGCATATTTCTATTCATGTGACAGCTCTTATTTCTTTAGGATATATTCCAAGGAGTGAGATTGCTGGATCGTATGGTACTTCTATTTCTAGCTTTTTAAGGAAGTGCCAAATAAATTTCCAAAGTGGTTGTACCATTTTACATTCCCACAAACAGTGTATAAGTGTTCCAGTCTCTCCACAGCCTCTCCAACATTTATTATTTTGTGTTTTTTTGCATTAATGCTAGCCTTGTTGGAGTGAGATGATATCTCATTGTAGTTTTGATTTGCATTTCTGTAATGGCTAATGATTGTGAGCATTTCCTCATGTGTTTGTTAGCCCCCTGAATGTCGTCTTTGGTGAAGTGTCTGTTCATATCCTTTGCCCATTTTTAAATTAGGTTATTTGTCTTTTTGCTGTTGGGGTTTTGCAGTATCTTATAGATTTTAGAGATTAGACCCTGATCTGATTTGTCATAGCCAAAAATTTTTTCCCGGTTTGTAGGTTATCTTTTTACTCTTTTGATAAAGTCTTTTGATGAGCATAATGTTTGATTTTTAGGAGCTCCCAGTTATCTAGTTTCTCTTCTGATGTTTGTGCCTTGTTACTTATGATTTGTATTCTGTTTATGCCATGTATTAGGGCTCGTAGCGTCCCTGTTTTTTCTTCCATGATCTTTATCATTTTGGATTTTATATTTAGGTCTTGGATCCATTTTGAGTTAGTTTTTTGTGCATGGTATGAGGTTTGGGTCTTATTTCATTTTTTTGCCAATGGATATCCAGTTATGCCAGCACCATTTGTTAAAGAGACTGTCTTTTCCCCAGTTAATGGATTTTGGGCCTTTGTCAAATATCAGCTGTTCATAGGTGGATGAATTTACATCTGGATTCTCAATTCTGTTGCACTGGTCTATGTATCTGTTGTTGTACCAGTACCAGGCTGTTTTGACTACCGTCGCAGTATGCTAGGTTCTAAAATCAGGTGGTGTGAGGCCTCCCACTTTGTTCTTCTTCAGTAATGCTTTACTGATCCGGGGACTCTTCCCTTTCCATATAAAGTTGGTGATTTGTTTCTCCATCTCATTAAAAAATGCCGGTGGAATTTGGATCAGGATTGCATTGTATCTGTAGTTCACTTTGGGTAGAATTGACATTTTCACAATGTTAAGTCTTCCTATCGATGAGCAAGGTATGTTTTTCCACTTACGCAGGTCTCTTTTGGTTTCTTGCAGTAGTGTCTTGTAGTTTTCATTGTATAGGTCTTTTATGTCTCTGATTAGATTTATTCCTAAGCATTTTATCTTCTTGGGGGCTATTGTAAGTGGTATTGATTTGGTGGATTTCCTCCTGAAAGTTCTGTTTGTTGGTGTAGAGAAATCCAACTGATTTTTGTATGTTTATCTTGTACCCTGAAACTTTGCTGAAATCTTCTATTAGTTCCAGTAGTTTTCTTGTGGATTCTTTGGAGTTTTCTGTGTATAAGATCATATCATTGCAAATACAGATACTTTTACTTCTTCCTTACCAATTTGGATGCCCTTTATGCCTTTTTCTAGCATAATTCCTCTGTCTAGGACTTCCAGCACAATATTGACTAAGAGTCATCCCAAAAGTGTTAAATGAACTCCAAGTCCAAAGTCTCCTGGGACAAAATTCCTCTTCATCTGTGAAATCTAGAATACAAATTTATCTGCTGCTAAAGTACAATGGTAAACAGGCACAAGGTAGATATTTCCATTACAAATGAAAGAAATTGGAGGGAAAGAAGGGATAATAGGCACCAAGTAAGTCAGCAGAACACATTACATTAGCTCTCAAGGCTTGAAAATAATCTTCTGTTCTCTAATACCTTCTAGGCAATGGCCTTGCCCTCCAGACTCTAGGTGTTGGCCACACTGTCTGGATTCCGGATGGAGGCCCCTCAGCCCTGGACTTTAGCTTGGTGTTCCAGGCCCACTGGGACAACAACTGTGCTCCCTCAGATTTGGGAAGCCCCATTCTCCTGGTCCGTTTTAAGTGACAACCCCACTCCCTTGGCCATGGCAGGCCCCTTTCTTCTGCCCCTTAGGCATGGCAGCCCCGCCCCTCAGCTTTGGGCAGCGAATCTGGCCCCATCCCACTGGCACTCTTGAAAGGCAGCCCCACACTTAGGAACTGAGTTGGTGAAGATCTGAGTCTTTGAAACCTAGGAGGCTGTGGCCTCACCCTTTGAAACTCCAGAGGCCATGGCTCCACCCTTTGAGACCCCAGAGGTCATGGCCCTACCCTTTGAGACTGACGCAGCTCTGTTTCCTGTGTTCCTTCTGTATTCAGCTTCTGCTACTTGGTTCCTTGGCCTCTGGGCCCCTCAAGCCCTTTGGCTGGCCGAGTGTCTCCCCTGCTTCGACAAGTGTTCCAAAACTCTTTAGCTCTACCGATAAGTGCCTGGAGGCACCACACTCCACCAGTAAACCTCGGCTGGAAGGCACTCAGCTCTCTTGCTTTGTGGGTTTGCAAGCCAAGCTTCACCAGTAAGTGCCCAGAGCACTGCACTCCACCAGGAAGCCTCCTGCCTGAAAGCACTCAGCTCTCTCTGTCTGTGGGTCAGCTCGCATGCCATCTCACACCAGCCTTCTGGTTCTGCTGCTGCCGTTTCTCTGCTGCTGCTTCTTGCTGTCTACACCTCTCTGGTGTTAAAGATCTCCTCACTTTCTTTTGAGTCCTCACCAGAATTGTCTTTGATGTCCATAGTGACACTGACAGTCTCTTCAAGGCAATTTAAGCTTTTACTCTTAACCACCTTAAAACTCTTCCAGCCTCTACCCATTCACTTTCAAAACTGCTTCCACATTTTACGTATCTGTTGAAGCAGCACCCCACTTTCCCAGCACCAAATTCTGTCTTAGTTATTTAGTGCTGCTATAACAGAAATACCACAAGTGGATCATTTTAACAAACACATTTATTCTCCCACAGTCTAGAAGTCTGAATTCAGGGCGCCAGCTCCAGGAGAAGGCTTTCTTTCTCTGTCGGCTCTGGGGGAGGGTTCTTGACATCATTCTTTCCTGGGTCTAGGAGTTTCTCAGCACAGGGACCCTGGATCCAAAGGAC